CTTACTAGCTGGGCAACCTTGAGCAAGCCACTGATTCTCTCTGAGCTTCAGTTTCTGTAAGTTGGAGGTGATAACAGTGCAACAATAAAAAAGCATTTAGTTCTATCTTGTAAGGACTCAACATATGATAGCTATTACTTTATCATCCACACTCGTTCCAGCGGTAGATATTTGTGAAGAATAGACTGGGACCTATCAGTCTTTTTCTCTGGGCTAAACATCTCCAGTTCCTTAAACTGATCCTCTTCCCTCATAGGCTTTAGTCTCTTCTTACTCCAGTCACTCTTTGGAAGGCATCCAGGTTGCTATTATCCCTTGCGGTGTGACACTACAATGGGACCTTTTACTACAGTCTCACTAGCACCGTGTGTATGTGTAGGGAGGGAGTATGGACCATCACCTTCCTACATTCTAAATGCTGTGCTTTGATAATGCAGCCTGAAGTGGTGTCAGGTTTTGGGGGAGTAACAACCTTAACTATAGTTTACTGAGCACCTAATATAGGTGCCAGAAACTATGCTAAGCATATTGTATTACCTGATTTAATCAACACAATAACTCTATGGGATGGAAATTATTATCCTCATTTTTTCAGATGAGGAAACTGAGGCTTAGAGATATTATAGGTAGAAAGTCAACACAGTTAAACTATGGTGGAGATGAGATTCCATCTCCAGTCAATCTTACTCTGGAGTCACAATCTTAACCTTCATACCATACTTCCTCCCACAAATATTAGGCTGTGCTCAATTCAAATCTTAGGTGTTTTTTTTTTCCCTCGTGTAATTTTAATAAGCTAGGTCTCCCCAGTCCTGCTCTTTTGCAACTGAGTTTTTAAATGGGACCTTATATTATATTCAATTTGATCATATTGAATTTAATCCAGCATATTCTCTCATATTCCCATCCAGCTTCAAGTCATCAGCACGTGGAATTTGGTAAATCACTGCTAAGAAGAAGCAGGAGAACAAAGCCGAGGGCAGAGCCTTTTGGCAAGATATCAGATAGCTTTTTCTCAAGGTGTATTTCTATCAAGAAATCATTTCCTAATGAGGATGATGTTCAACCTGCTACCAATCCACAAAACTGAATTAACATCCAACCTCCATTTCCCTGTCTTGTTGAAAATTGTTTCTTGAAATATATATGGTACTTATGGTCAATATCTACACAGCTAAGGTTCATTCTAAGAAAAGTTGTCCCAGAAAGAAATCTGGATTAAAGGCTGAAGAGAGTATGAAAAAATATAAATATGAAGTCGGAAGTATTTAAAATATTTTAAGGGAAAGATCTCACCTTTGCCCTGAGAAGACATTTTATGTCGAAGAAATATATAAAGGGCAGAAGATGAACATGTCTCCACCCAACAGCCTTCCCTGGGATCCACACACATCTTCCTACCTCCGTCCTAACTCTAATGTCACACAAGGGACCAAGAGGGAGCCACTGGCATCCATATGTAAATCTGTGGCTTCTCCAGCTTCCCTCATTGGACTGGGAGTTGCTTAAGGGCAGGATTTATACCTTTTCATGCCTTTCTCTCCATCTGCAGGAGCAAGGCATTGTTCTTTCTGTGTTCATACCTCTATTAACACTGGGAAAGACGGACCATGGGAATATTCCAGTCTTTTTGTTTTTTAATTAGAGCCCAAGGCTCCATCCCACCAAATCCTAGAACACTAATCTCTCAGAACTTGAGTCTACTTAATATTAATCCATTCATCACCCTCCTCTGCTTGGTCCCACAGAGGGATGACTTGTGCCTGTGGAGAGAAAGACCCTTTGCCTCAAATGTAAACAGAGGAGAGCTTGATGTGCCAACCACCCTGGCCTGCTCCTCTCCAGCCCTGCTAGGACACGGCTGCGAGGCCCTGCAGAGCCAGGAGGGCGTTCTGGGTAACGGAATGCAAAACGATGCGGTTCCCCCCCACCGGCCTCCCCAGGGTTCCGTGACTCCTGGCCCCGTAAGAGCTGAGGCGAGCAGTTTTTGGCTTCAGGGGGTTGGGGGAAGAGAGTGGGGAGGAGGGACGGAGGCTTCCTCTAGGCCAACCACAACTAACTCATTTGCTCTGTCCAGCAAAACCCAGACAGTGCAATTATCTGGTTAATTTGGCCTTTAGTTGGGAGACAGGCTCCCAAAATGTGAGGCCAGCTCAGACTAAACAGTGGCTTCCGTCCTAAGGCTTCTCCTAAGTGCTAAAGGATGCGTGTGAGATTCCGGACCCGCCCATTGATACAGATGGGCAAAGATAAGTCATTCCGCCTCCAAGACCAGTTTGGAAAGGTGTGTCTTCCAGGGAAAAATGCCCAAATGACCTGCTAATTGGTTTCCTGGCTAATTCACCTTCTGGCTTCCAGGGAGAGGCATGGCTGGAAATCAGAATGACTCTAAATTAGCCAAGGTTTTCTAGTACGATTATAACACTCATAGACTGGCTAGGAGTCCCCGGAGCCCTCGATGAGTTATTCTTAGGGCAATTCCCTCTGATGCTCCTGCTCACAGATTTTTGTACCTGCAAGTTGGGCCAAAGGCACTGCCGAGATTAAAGGGGAAAATGAAAACATGCCTTTGGTGTTTCCATGAATAGGATAAGGCAGGGCGGGCTCAGCTGGCAACTGAGCAGTTAGCAGATGGTTTATGAAAAACCCAGGTTTTCGAGGGGAGATTAAGGAGCAGTGATTTAGCACCCTTGGAAACCGACAAGCAGCCTGGAATCTGTGGAATCTATCAGCTATTCGTTCTGCAAATATTTCCTTCAGTTCCAGTTTGTGCCAGGCCCCGTGCTACTTAACAGAGCGAGATCCACACAGCCATGGTCCCAACCCTCATGCAAATAATCCCGCCCTAAATGTGTGGCGAAAAACTTAGATAAAGGTGAGGAAGGAAACGTTGAGGAGCTGTGACAGGGAATAACCAGGTTATCTGATTTAGATCGGGTAAAGGCTCAGAGAAAGCGTCTTAAGGCTCAGAGAAAGCGTCTTAAGGAAAGGATTTTAAGATAACCCTCTAAAGGATCTAAGGGGCTTGTTTAGCAAGATCACTCTAGCTTTGTTAGAAAGAATCAATTCGAGATGGGTTAAAAAAAATGGAGCTGAGAGGCTGTTGATTAAGAAGATTGGAAGCGAGTTGGTGGTGGTCTAGCCAAGGATCCAGGTACAGGGGGTGGGGAGAGAGAAGTGGACGGCAGACTGGGAGATACGGGCCGTGGAGTTGGCAGGGTCTGGGCAGGGAATGGGTGCGGCCGTGGAGAGACAGGGAGGCGTCCCGGAGGCTGTGCAGGTGTCTGGCTAAGGTGGAAGGTAGATGGTGGCATTCGTCACTGAGACAGGGGAAGATGACGTGTCCTGTTTTAGAGTTGGCCAAACTGGACCCCCTGCCATTCCACACCCTGCACTTCCAGTCTCTCCTTGCCTCTGCTCGCGCCGCCTCCGTTCACATACCCTACACGCCTCCATCTCCCCTTGCTGACATCCTACCCGTCCTCCGATCCATTTCCAACACCACTTCCTCCTCAAAGCCACTTCTGACTCCCTCAGTTGGCTGTAACCTCCGCCGCCTGTAGTGCTAAGCTCGGACCTGTCTTCCTGGCCTTTCCCACAGCGGAAGCTCTGAAAGACCTGTCTCGCCTCCCTTCCCAGACCACAGGCTTTGTGGGACAGGGCCTCTGCTTCTGTATCCTTGTCCCCCACACTAGCCACCACAGTAGCCTCTGCCAAATGTTAATATTTGTAAAATTCACAAGAATAACCTGCTCTTTGCCACGGAAGGAAAACGAGTAGACGTTGGATTGACTTGAAAGCCACAGGATCAAACTGAAATCCAAACTGTAGGTGTTTTTATATTAAGTCAACTCAGTCTGATGCTCAGAAGGCCTTTCTGTTCCTCTGACACACGAAACTCAAAAATTGCAGGGAGAAAAACCGTCACATCCCTCCCATTTTTTTTTAATTGTGTTTTGAATTCATTTTACAGCAGGGACCTCATCTATCTTATTTAGTATTTACTTTTGATGATGATGATGATGAAGATGATGACGGTGATGAAGAAGATGATGATAAATGAGCAATATTTACTAAGTGCCAGGCGTTGTTCCAAGCACTTTTCATGGACTAACTTGTTCGATCCTCACAGCGCCCCCATGCGCATAGGCTGATGCTATTATTGTCCGAATTGTACACGTGCAGAAACTGAGCTGGGGAGAGGTTAACTATTGCTCAGCCGAGCCCACGAGGTTAGTAAGGGGTAGTGTTGGGACCTAGAGTCTGGCTCCAGACTCCGTGCTCGAAGGTGCTCTCCCAAGGCTGAGCACAGTGCTTGGCAGAGAGAGGGAGGTCCTCACTGAATGAATGGGAGGAACCTGCCATCCGGAGCCAGGAGACCACTCCTTCTAGCCCTAATTCTGCCACTGCCTCTCTCGGTGGCCTTGAGCAAGTCCGTGTTTCTTCCCACAGAAAATGAGGGACCTGGATATTGATATTAGTGGTAATAACAAGAGTTAGTATTGACAATTCTGATCTCATTTGAGATTTTAAATAATTTAATCTCAACCATAACGGTACGAGGAAAATGAGGCATGGAGAGACTAAGTCCCCTGTCCAACACGTGGAAATGAGAGAGCCAGGATTCAAACCCATCATGTTCCCCAGCCCCAGCGGATGCAAGGCGATGCCACAGAGGCCACGGGGAACAGAACAGAGTGGACAGACTTTTAGGTTCCTCCTTTCAACTCCATCAGAACAACTCCACTTGCATCTGTTTTGCAGAATGAGCTCCTATTCGGTATTTGAAGCAAGGTTCCCTGCTAAAACAAAAATTGTTGAAAACCACTGAACCAAATGATTCTGGAATTTAATGAGACTCCCAGGTATGTAAACTGGGCTTTTTCTGGTAATCTTAGCTCATGACTGCCACATAAAACAGGAACCAAGGTTGCTCATGAGAATGGCCCCGGCTGTAGAAAAAGTGAGGTTCACGGTGCTAAAGATGCAGCCCCACCTACCTGTTCCACTCGAATCTCAATCTCTCCATTCACCTTCTTTCCGTGGAAATACTTTGACCTGTGAGGGAGAGGAAGAAATCCGCTGAGTAAGGATGCAGACGGGTCACTCTTTTCTCCCTTCTCCCAAAGGCCCCACCCCAGAGGTGCGGACTGAGACACATCCTGGACTTTCTCCCTTTTTCCTCCAGCCTCGATCCCTGACTCTCCCATTATTTCCCGACAGAGGGGAAGGAGTGTGGATGGGAAGATCGGAGACTCAAGTTCTGGTTCCGTCAAGTCACTTGACCTCCCTGTGTCTTAGTTTTATTCTCTGTAAAAGAATGATATTAATAATTGCGCCACATATTTCTTTCTCTTTTTTTCTGAGACACAGTCTCACTCTCCTGCCCGGGCTAGAGTGCTGTGGCATCACCCTAGCTCACAGCAACCTCCGACTCCTGGACTCAAGCGATCCTCCTACCTCAGCCTCCTGAGTAGCTGGGACCACAGGCATGCACCACCATGCCTGGCTAATTTTTTCTATATATATTTTTAGTTGTCCAGCTAATTTCTTTCTATTTTTTAGTAGAGATGTGGTCTCGCTCTTGCTCAGGCTGGTCTCGAACTCCGGAGCTCAAACGATCCACCCGCCTCGGCCTCCCAGAGTGCTAGGATTACAGGCGTGAGTCACCACGCCCGGCGTGTGCTACATATTTCTAAAGGTTATTTTGAGTACCAAATGAAATAAGGATCCTACATAAATAAATAATGCAATATTATTTTATTGAGTTATGCCTTATATACTCCGTTAAGGACTTATTATTGATCTATCCATCCACCCATTTCTTTTTGTCCATTTGTCTAATAAAGCAGTCTTCATTTATCCCTTTGTCTATCATCCATCCATCCAACCAACCATCTGTCCCTCCTTCCAAGGCTTTCTTCTACATCCCTGCCTCTGTCTTCCCCATTATCAGTAAACGGCATCCCCATCTACCTACTGCTCAAGGCGGAAGTGCAGACATCGTCCTTGCTACCTCTCTTTCCCTCCCGATTCCCAGTGATTCTACATTTTAATTATTTCTCAAATCCATCTACTTGTCCATTTTTCTCCATAAGCACACTAATCCTGACCCATAATTTATCACTATAATTAGTGATAATTAATAACTGATTAATGCCTGTGTACCATTAAACCAAAACACAGTTCCTTGAGGCTAGGAACAATC